GGACACGTTTGCTTCCGTGTGTCTGTAAGTATGGGTGTCTGTGTGTCCAGCTGGGCAATATGTCAGAGTCATCACCGTCTCTCCCTGTTTAGTGTTGAATTTAATTCATTGGATAATGAATGGCCAGTGCTGTCTGGCCTCAAAGTTCAGTGATCTGAGTGTTTGTGTCTCCCCAATCGTCCTACATTGAAACCTGAACATGATGGGATCAGGTGTGGCCTTGAGTAGGTGACCCGGCCATGATGCACCACCCTTACAAATAAGATTAGTGTCCTCCTAAAGACACCCAGGGGTGGTTCCTCAGCCCTTCCTTCTACCATGCCAGGTCAACCAGAAGGTGCTAACAACTAGAAAACCGGTCCTTTCTAAACCCAAATACTGCTGGTGACCTGACTTTGGGGGACTCTTCAGAATGATAAGAAATCAAGTTCTATTGTTCATAAGCAGCCAGCCCAGGGAATTTGGAGGGAGGTCACCATTAAATAAGGAAATGTGAAATCGTCCAGGGAAGACACACTGGTCAAACTTGAGTGGGATCCAGGGCCACCAGCACGTGTATCCATCTCAGCTATCCCTGAGCTGAAAATTCTTTTCTCCGGTTGGAAGCAGGGCCTCTCTCCTGCCTACCACACTGATGTTCCTCCCTTTGCCTTTTGGAATTTTCATCGCTTCTTGGCACAAGTTAAATAGACATGTAGTTCTAGGTCTTGATATCGGAGGCCTTTCGTCCTCTAGCGGGGACGTCCATACAGGCTTGGTTGTCCCCTCACCACTATCAAAAACCATCATTATGGATACCACCCAAATGCGATAGGTGAATACGTTTGTTTAAATTACATCTTAAAAAAAAAACAAAACTGGTGAGGAGCATTCCTTTTCTCCTGAATTTATCTGTTGCTTGTATTTTTCTTTTATATAATTTCTATTCCCTTGTGTGTTTGTATGTGTGTGCACATGTGGTCTCGAGAGCATATGTGCACGTGCACATGTGCCTCTGTGTGCACACGCATATGTTGAGGTTTTCTTGCTGTTTTTTTTTTAAAGCTCATCATCTTTATATGGGCTATTCGCCCTTAGACTTACTGCTACAAATGCTTTTTCTCAGTGTTTTCGCATTTTTGTTTGTTTACTTGTTTATAGTAATTTTCACTCCCTCTTAGCCAAATGCTAAGATGTGATGCCTATGATAATTTTCTAAGCTGATAGTGAATGAAATTCATTAATCTCTTCCTTTGTGATTTCCCCTTGTTACTTTTTTTCTTGGAATTTTTTAAGATCTATTTTTAAATTTGTGTGTGTGTGTGCACCTGTATGAGATTATGTGTGCAGCATGTGTGCAGGTGCTTATGGAAGTCAGGAGAGGGTGTTAGTTAGATTAGGTCACCTGGAACTGGAGTGACAGGAGGTTCAGAGCCATGCATGGTGCATGCTGGGAAAACCAAACCTGGCTCCTCCCTCCATAAGAATGGTAAGCACTCTTAGCCCGTGAACAATCTCTTCCTCTCCTATTGAGTATTTCCCATGTAAATTTTAGGTGTTTTTCTTGTTATATTTTTCTTATTTATTTATTTAAAGTATATGAGTAGACTGTCACTGTCTCCAGACGCACCAGAAGAGGGCATCAGATCCCATTATAGATGGTTATGAGCCACCATGTGGTTGCTGGGAATTGAACTCAGGGCCTCTGGAAGAGCAGTCAGTGCTCTTAACCACTGAGCCATCTCTCCAGCCCCAGGTTTTTCTTTTTGAGACAGGGTGTTTCTATGGATGTCAGCTATCCTTGAACCCAGGAACCTCCTGATTTGGCCTCCAGCATGCTGTGGTTACAGGGACACGTCCATGTCCCAGTTGATTGTTTTGTTTGTCACAGGGTCATTTTCTCTGTATCGTTTGTGTTATGTGAAGACCTGGCCAGGTGTCTTCTTTCTGCAGGTTCATCACCTTGCTAGGCCTTGTCTTCCCAGTGACTGGAACTATTTACATGGTGGCCAGGGACTGGGGCTTAGGCCTCAGGACATCATCTGTACATGGGACTCCTCCCACCAGTTGTGAGAGTCTGCCTTTGCGAACTGTGGAGAGCAACAAACAAAGAAGCAGGGCCAGTTGCCAACTTCAGCTCCCTCCTCCAGGACCCCCGAGCAGAGGAAAAAGTAAGCATTTGAAACTAAGACCTCCCCAGAGAAGTGACTTGGAGAGGTGTGGGGTTGGAAAATAATTCCTCCAGTTTGGATTCTAGCAAGTGCCCAGCAGCTTCTAAATGTCAGCAGAGGCTAGATTGCCACCGTGTACAGTTCAGTCTTTGTTTACCATCAGGGTGCCGCACAAGGCGCAGGCACTGACAATGATGCTTTATGTTGGGTACAATTATCTAGTGTGTTTTTGTGCTGACCAAAGCCTAGGTCTGTAGAGAGTTAAGGGGTTCACTGTCATTACCGTCCTAGGAATACATTCTATGATCGTGGCTATTTTTAGTACTATAGATACATATACAACTCTAAAGCCAGTGGTGGGGCAGATGTGCAAGCAACGCTAATCAGGATATCTGAGTTGAAAATAGAGAACTCAACCCAACATTGCAAACCGAGGATCCCAGCAGGGCCCACTGTGCTATGCTTTGGTGAAAAAATTAAGAATATTAGTTTCAAGGGTCAGGGTGACACACGCTTTGATCTCAAAATTTAAGAGGCAGAGGCAGAGGCAGAGGCAGAAGAATTTTCTGTGGTTTTGAAGCCAGCTAGGGCTACGTAGTGTGTCGAAAAGAAAAGAAGAGAAAAGAAAAAAGGAAAAATATTAGCTTCATTTCCACCTGTCTATATAGAAGGGAAAAACAGATTGATATTATCATCTGTTTATCTGTATCTATTACTTACCTATCTATCTACTGTCTACTTACCTAACTACCTGTCATCTGCGCACCATTCAAACATTGCCTGTTCATGCAAATGCCTTTCATCCACATGGAGTAATAAATTCTCCTCAGGTCTTTAAATTTGTCTTTTCTTACTCGAAAGGGGGACTTTAAAAAAATTAAATATCTCAGGGAGTTGGCAGGGTAAATATGAATATGTAATTAAGTAGCTTCAAGGATTATGTCCCATGTGGAGAGCATAGCAATGAGTTTTCTCTGCTCTTATTTGAATTTTACACAGAATCAGCATTGACAGTAACTTAAAACGCCAACATCAAAAACTCAGTCAAAGACAGAGATACTCTGAGGAGCACTCGGCAGGCTTAGAGTTCTGGGGACCAGTTCCTATGTAGACTGGGATGCAGATCGCCTGCCGATGGCCTGGGTCAGCCCCTGCTGCCCTTCAGTATCTACATAGCCCTCTCTGTTGGATATATTCTATCCCCATCACATTCTGAGTACAGAAATGCTGGGCTTGCCCAGGTTCCAGAAGCCTCCAGTGACCTCTTGTGATGGGTTTGTAGATCTGTCTCTGCACCTGGCTGCCCTGTAGACAGGTTCAAGTTCATCATGGTAGAGATAGGAGTCAAATGAACCTCAACTCCCACATGTGTAAAATAAGAGACAGTACGGGATAAGCTGATGGAATGGGATGCAGTAGTATGTGCTTGCTTCTTTGCCTCAGTCTCTGTGTTCAAGTGGGAGGTGAGAAGAAGTGAGGCTGTGCCAAGATCTTTTGATGGGAGGCCCTGACCTTACTAAGCAAGCAGCAGGCCCAGTTATGTTCCAGAGGCTTCTGGTGTACTGCAGTGAAGTGACAGGCATCACATCTCCATTGCTTTCAGCAATGTCAGGCTGAACCACAGAGGCCCATGCTTGGGACCTATCTCACACTTAAAGCCGATATGTGTATAAGGTGTCAGGCATTAATGTCAACCTTTACGCTCCTCTGCCACACTGAGATTTCTTCTGATCTGTATGCATTTTATTGGCTGTGGATACTATTTACTGTGGTCTCAAAATAGCTGGTCTGTGTTTGGTTGCTATGGCAATTTTTTTCTTTTGTATTTAATAGTATCAGAGACAAAGTATGCCCCTGGATGTTAGGAAGTACAAATCAAGATGTATGCATTGATTTTTTTTTCCCTTCCCACTTTGACGTTAGGCTGGAAATCAAAGCCATGTAAGACTGATGTACCTTTTAGAAGGCTGGAGTCCAACTGGGCATTTGGATTCCTGATTCTTTAGACTCTCAATAACTCTTGTATGTTTTAGTGTAGCTTCCTGTTGAGTAAACCTGTCTTGCTATTTTAAGAGGCAATACAAGGGAGTAAAGGTGGGAGAAAGAGTGCTGGAGATATCAGAAGAAAGCGTGAGTCCTCGAGACAGCACTGGGATGCTGTTTTCAAGTGAAACGCCAGTTTTCTGGATCCACTGGTGTTGCAGATATTTTGCTTTTTCTTGACCTCTGTGAAGAATACCTGGGGTCAGGGATTGGCCTCCCTGGTGCCTGAACTTGGGCCATACAAGGTGTTGTGGCGCACCAATGTCAGGTCAACACTGGTAGGGAAAGTCAAAGTTCAAAGGCCAAGTATGAGAGGCCAGGAATAGATCTTGAGGGAACTGTGGAAACCTAAGAAGAGCAGTCCAGGTTTTGAGCGGGAGACCAAGATCGCTGCATGAGTTTTGGTTCACTTTAAGGTATTGTGTGGATGGGGCTGGCTTTCATGAGGGCTGATAATGGCTTCACTCTCATTCAGGGTTTCTAGGAGCTGTGGATGGAGTTCTGCAGTGCTTTTCTTGGCAGAAGAACTTGCCAGCCATCTTCACCCCAGAGCTGCCGGGAGGCACATGCCGGACACTGAACGGGATCCGAGTCCTGAGTCTCCTCTGGATTATCTCGGGACACACCAGTCAGATGACCGCTTGGCTATCTTTGGGTATGGGTAGCAGATGGACTTCCTCTCCAGCATCCATGGGAAAGAGATCTCCTTCTATGTGGGCTAGTGGTAGGCCACGGGATAGAAGCCTGACAGCTTTCTCATGAACAGCCAGCCTTCCTTCTGTTCTAGAGACATGCTGAGATTTGCCATGGCATGTGACCTCGGATACCAAGGTTCCCAGGGATGCAATCAGGGGCTCTTTTCAGTAATGGTCCCCTAGGTAGAAATCAGGGTCACAATGATGTTTGCCCACTGTGTGCTCCCTCCATTAACTAAGGAAGACAGAAAGTAACCTCCCCTCCCCACCCCGTAGAGTAGGCAAGTATAACCAAATGCTGAGCATCCATAGTAAGTCACCATTTCTGGACCATTGGTCATTGCTACTCCTTGAAATCTCTCATCCATGATTCAATGTCTGCCACTCAGTAACCAAGGTCACTTCTCAGTGGAGGACAAAGCAAGTGAATCAGAATTAGACGCCAGGCACTGAGGATAGTTACAGGGAGCCTGTGAGGTGATGGGCACCTGGCCCAGCTCTGTGAGAGTCTCAGAGGACTGTGGGCATCGTAAGAGTACAAAGAAGCACACAGCCTGAGAGAGGAGTCTCGGGCACCACCCTCATCCCCACTGTAAGTTAACCCTTGACGTTGATCTTACAGTTGTCCCAGTGCAAACAGACATTGAAAGTATGCCTCTTGCTTTTTCTCAAAGTGAAGTCTGCTAGTTTCCTTCAGCTAAACTAAAAGACATTGCCTTTTCACACATCTGTTATAGATAATGTGCTCGAATGGAAAGCCAGAGTGCCTGAGAACCCGCTGTACCTCTACTCTCGGAGCGGCCCGTTCTATCTCGGGGTGGATACATTTTTCCTGATCAGGTGATGAGGTTGAAATGCAGTCTCTGCTGTTATCATGTTAAAAGATGTGTGGGTGAAGGGGAGGGTTGTCAGTCTCACCTTCCTGAGAAAAGGCCATTGGCTTCTGTTATTTCTAGATCTTAACCGGTAGGTCACAGCCCCTTTGGGGCGGGGTTGTATAATAGATGTCCTGCACGTCAGGTATTTATTTACATGATGACTCATAACAGTAGCAAAATCACAGTTGTGAGGGAGCAACAAAATGATTTTATAGTTGGGTGTCACCACATCGTGAGGAGCTGTATTAAAGTGTCGCAGCCTTCGGAAGGGTGAGGACCACTGATCTAGAGAGTGCTGTTGTCAGGGGTACTTTATGCAGTATCTTCAGTTTTGTGGATGAGTTAGGAAGAGGCTGAGAAATGGGCCTTTTAAAAAAGTTGAGTTTTTTCTTTTTTTTTTCTTTTTCTTGTTTTTTTTTCGAGACAGGGTTTCTCTGTGTAGCCCTGGCTGTCCTGGAACTCACTGTGTAGACCAGGCTGGCCTCAAACTCAGAAATCCGCCTGCCTCTGCCTCCCAAGTGCTGGGATTAAAGGCGTGTGCCACCACTGTCTGGTGAAAAAGTTGATTTTTAAAAGCGTTTTCATGACACTTTAATATGTATGTATGTATGTATGTATGTATGTATGTGTGTGTATTATGTTGGAGTATGTGTGTCCTGACTTGTGTGTCAGTCAGAGGGCAGCTTGCAGGAGTTATTTTTCTTTTTGCCGTGTGGTTCCAGAGTTGAACTCAGGCCCTCAGACTTGGCAGCAAGCACATCACTCTACTGAGCCATCTTGACAGCCCACACAAGCTGCTTTTATTTATTAAAAATCATCCGTTTCAGTGATTCTCAAGCTCTAGAAAGTGGTGTAGATTCATACGAAAATTTCCAATTCTGACTCCAGCAAAATGTGAACAAAACGAACAAAACAAAACAGTGTGAGGTTCACAGAGTCATATTCCCTTAAATTATCGACCTAACATTTCCTAATCTCATTTTTAACTTCATACATTCTTAAAACTGTTAAGAGTTTGAGCAATGGCATGAGCAGCCACCCAGTAATGTAGGATCCATGGGTGGCACAGGCCAGGGCTATAAATACCGATTGTCCAGGGATACCGAAAGCAGAGCGAGATACCGTCTTCGTATCCGTGCTAGTCGATACTGAGCCACTTGTTACTGAAGGGTTGCTGGTGATGTGGGCTCGAAGGCTTCTCTGCAGAGTCAGCCTTTCTGGGGTAAGACCAGCAGTCTGGGTTGTCACAAGCACTACAGGTGCTCATGTGACCGCTCAGGTCTAAGAGGTACAGGATAAGCTCAGACAGCAGCAGCTCAGGACGGCAGAGACAGTGCACACACCCTGACACTGGACCAGAGATGGAGGAAAACATTTCTATCTGCTTGTCTCAGTCTGTGGTTGCCTTTTCACCCTCTAGGTTCTATTTTATTACTTTAGATGGTTCCCATATTCTTTCATTTAAAATTTACATTGTATATGACACTTGTCTGTGGTGTGTGTACGTGTGTGTGTGTGTCTCACTGGGAGAAGAATCACACAACAGTGCTTGCTCTACAACTGTAATGATCTGAGTTAGAATCTCCTCTACTCATATTAGAAGCCAGACAGGGGCTGAATACACTGGCTTGTATGTGCACACCTACAAAACACACACATACACACAAACACATAAACACATATATACACACCACACATACCACACACACACACACATACATGCATATATACATATACCACACACACGCATATACCAAACACCATACACATACACTGCATATAAACACATATCACACACACATCATATTTATAACACACACATAACATACAGCACATACACAGCATACACTATGCACAACACACATATACCACACACATTTTATTTATTTATTTATTTAATTCTTATGTGTCTGGGTGTATTCTTTGCTTGCATGTATGTCTGTGCACCACACATGTGGACAAGCCAGAAGAGGATGTCAGGTTCCCTGGAACTGAAGTTAAAGACAGTTGTGAGCTGGCCTGTGAGTGCTGGGAATTGAACTCAGGTTTTTCTGGGAGAGCAGCCAATGCTCTTAACCACTGAGCCATCTCTCCAGCCCTACACTAAAAATTATTTAAAATTGTTTATATTTATTGGTGTTTTGCCTGCATGTATATTTATGGACCGTGTGTGTACCTTGTGCCTGAGAAGGCCAGAAGAGGGCATCAGATCCCCTAGAACTGGAGTTACAGACAGTATGCTGCCATGTGGGTGCTGGGGTCATCTGGAAGAACAGTTAGTTCTTTTAACTGCCGAGCCATCTCTTCATCTCCCGTCTCCTGCATTTACTATTGAATAATAGAGTGTCAGCCTCACTTTTGCGGATAATAAATTCAAGATCCAGAGACAAAATAAGTATCTACCCACCTACCTACTATTAAGGTCAGAATCAAAACTTATGAACACAAGTTGAGTAACCCTGGAAATCTAAAACCCAGAACTACTTTAAAATCTACACCTTTTTAAGTGCTAACAAAAAACTGTAGGTGGGAAATTTTATAGGTAAGAGGTCCCAGACAAAACACAGGTGTGTCCCCCCCCCCCAAAAAAAAATACTGTCTACAATTATCTTTAGGCTATGTACACAGCAGAGTGTGAACTCGTTCTTAGTCTTTAGTCTCACTCCAAAGACCTCATTGAATGTATGCAAGTATTTCCAAATGCTGAAGCATACTGGAGTCCACCCATTTTGGATGAGGGGCACTCAGCCTGCAGTGTGTTTCATGGGACTCATGTCTTAACCATCTGATCGTTGATACTTACACAGAAAAAGCAGGGTCCCAGTTATCTTTTCCCACCTTCTGGGCTGGCTTCACACTAAACACAATGGCATAGTTTTCCCTTCCGCAGTCCATTCAGGATTCTGGGTCACACAGCCTGTTTCCTCTCTTCTCAGCGCCCCTTCCTTGTGGGATCAGGAATACATTCCCACACACAGAGCAAGACCCAGGCACTGCTTAGCAAAGGCTGGCACTGGTGCCAGCCACTCGGAGAAGAAAGGATGGCCCAGATTCATCCTTTCCTGCAATGAAGAGCCAGAATCAGAGCTGGCTGCCCCACTTCCTGCTCTCAGAGCCCTCATTTAGATGTCTTTATGCATTTGCTTCTTATTATAAGGAATCCAACTCGCTGCTTTTCAAAGGAAATCTAAAGCATTCCCCAACCCACCAGGATCCCTTCCAAGTAGGGCCCAACATAGATGTCCTTGCTGTACAACAGGAAACACGTTTACCATTCAGAGAAGCTCCCACGAGGACCAGGGGCCAAATGCCAGAGGGTCAAGGGACTAACAGACCTGCTCACCACCGCAGCCATGAGAATGTGCCAGATAAGAATTCTGGGATCTTCCTGTAATCCCAGCACTTGAGAAGTGGAGGCAGGAGGATCAAGAGTTCAAGGTCATCCTCGGGTACACCAGAAGTTTGAGGAAGCTATGTGAGACCACGTCTCAAAATCAAAGAAACAAAACTGGAATTCTGTGCTTCCCTACCCCCGCCCCCCGCAAGACAGGGTCTGTTTGTGTAGTCTTAGCTGTCTTAGAAATAGCTCTGGAAACCAGGCTGGCCTCTAACCCACAGAGATCCACTAGCCTCTGCCTCCCAAGTGCTGGGAAGTTGTGCTTGTGCCTCCACCGCCTAGTTTGGAATTCTGTGCTCTTGGGCAGCATGATTAGTAATCTGAGTCTTACTGTCCCTGTTTGGAAAAATAGGAATATTAATGTCTCCTTTTTCTCCTGGTAGGATTCAAACATCCATCTGTTTTCTCATTTCCTCAAAAATGTTTATTGAGAAGTAGTTGGGGATGGGTGGAGAATTGGGAGCCATCTCTTTAGGGAAAGCATTTTGAAAATGGTGTGCCACTATAGCAATGGGAGTCCTTCACAACATTACTTTATACACCAATAGGGCTGTGGGGGTGGCTCTGCGGGGAAAAGTGTTTGGTGTGCAAGCATGAGGAGTTGAGTTCAAATCCCTAGCATACATGCAAAGATCCGGGCACAAGTGCATGTGGCTAGAACTTTGTGGTGGCAGAGAAGGGAGCTCATGAGCCAGCCAGTCTACCCAAAATAGTGAGCTTCTAGTTTAGCGAGGGACTCTTCTCAAGGCAATAAGGAGGGTAGTGACAGAGGAAGACACCAGTGCCCTTCTCCTGACTTCTGCATGAGCGGCAATGGGCAGATGTACTCTCATACTAACATGCATGAATCACATAACCAGGGCGGAGGGAGAGAGAAAGAGAGAGAGGGAGAGAGAGATGGAGAGACAGAGAGAAAGAGAAATGGGGGGGAAGTGGGAGGGGGAGGGGGAGAGGGAGAGGGAGAGAGAGAGGGAGGGAGGGAGAGAGAGAGAGTCCCACACATACAGAGAAAGAGAGAGCACAACATAGTAACTATTGGTATGGTTAGCCAAATATTACTGACCCTCCATCCTCCAAGTTGGTGGCTTTCAACCTCCCTGATGCTGTGGTCCTTTAATACACACAGTTCCTCATGTTGTGGTGACCCCTAATTATAAAATTATTTTGTTACTACTTCATAACTGTGATTTTGCTACTGTTATGAATTGTAACATAAAGATCTAAAATGCAACCACTGTGAAAGGATCATTCCACCCTCCTAAATGGGTTGAGGTCCACAGGTGGGAACGGCTACTTTGGGTGCTTGGTCCTCTGGAAGGATCACTTTGCTAGCCCCAGTCAACAACTTATACCTCATACCTATGCCTGTGTTAAAACTCTTGGGCCCTTATGCCAACAGCTTTCATGTGTCACTTTAGGCTAGAACACTGAATTGTTGGGTTGAGACCCTCCAAAGCTGTTTTGTTTATCGCTGTGGTAATTTGTGAGCACTCGTTGTCCCATTAGCCCATAGTGAGGAAGACACTGAGTCTTGGCCAACAGACTATGAATATGTTACACAAGAAAAACAGAACCAACATGAAATAAAAAACTAAGAGCCCAAAGTCCAATGTCCACTGCTTTAAGACTTAGTGGTACCTTGTCTGAAGTATCACGTAACCCGTCCTGACGGAGACAGCTGCAGCAACTCACCAATGAGCATTGTTATTGTTAACTCCTGTGGCCTCTCTTCTTTCTTTCTCAGTGGTTGGTTAAGTGCAAGGTCATTTCTAAAGATGCACCAGAACACCAGCGCAGGAATACCCCCTAAAGTCATTCTCAGATACTTTCTGAAACGTTTTACAAGGTAGGTTTACTTATGTAATTTTTCAGATTGTTATTGGTATGAAATGGGTATTTCTCAATGTTTAACCTTGTTTGAAAGAAGTTTTTCTTTCCTTAAGTATGTTTGAATTTGGCTGGCTTAAAACAGTTTAACTTCTGTGATAGCAAAGGTCATGAAAACTGGTGTCTTTCACCAGCAAACTCATTCTCAGCTGGCTGGAAGTAGTGTTTTGTAGATGTCCCATCCGTTTCTATGGGATCAATATTCTGCAGGGGAATTGACGTAGCTGCAAGTGATCCTGGAAGTCAGAGTACTAGTGTGATGATGAAAATAACAGGCATCAATGAACAGTGTTGGGCCATGTTTCTTTATTAAGCAATATGAAGTTGGTTGAAGCTGAAGACTTCTGATACTGGCTTAGATTACAGAGTAGTGATGGCAGTGATGTAATGAGATAGTTGGAATGGCAGTGATGTAATGAGATAGTTGGAATTAAAGGAAAAGGACACTTGAGCTTCAGCTCTTCAGTCCTTCCATTTTCACACTTTCTCAGGCATAGCTGTATTGAGCCAGAACCCAGCTCCCTGTATTATTCCTATTCTAAGTCCATCTTGCTATACAATTCTGTAGAGTCAGGGTTCCCTAGAGAAACAGAACCAATAGTGTGTGTGTGTGTGTGTGTGCACGTGTGTGTATATACATATATATGTATAGATATATATACATACACTTACACATGTGTATATACATACATATACGCACAAACATATACACACATATATGTACATGTATCCATACATACATCCATATACATGTATATATGCATATACATGTATGTATATATATGTATATATATGTATAAATGAATGAACATATATCATATGTCACATATCAAAATAACTTACTAAATTAGCTTTCATTCAAATAGTAACAACAGTTGACCCATTCCTGAGAGGCCGAGAGGATAAGAACCAGGTAGTTGTCAGTCCACAGGGCTGTGTCTCAGAAGTCTCAAATGGTGTAGAGAACCCAAGGGCTACTGGCCCTTAGTCTGTGACAGAAAACTAAAAATGTTGGTTCTGCTTTCAGCGAAGGAATCAGCAGCAGCAGTAGCAGCAGCAACAACAGGGTGAATCAACCCAGCAGCAAAAGGGAAGGCCATGTAGGCAAAAGACAAATGATGGCGTGTCCTTTGTGTCTGGACTGCTACACAAAGACGCCACCTACATTTGGAGCAACTTTTTCCATACTACTAAGGCTGTCAGGACAGCTCCTGAGTGAAGGCTTCCTTACTTAAGTGACTCTAATTTGTGTCAAGTTGGTATTAAAACATCACATTGTCATGAAATAGTTAAAATTATTCTCAGGACTGGGAAAATGGAGTGGGCGGGAATCGATACCATAATTCCACTGCTGGCCTTGTGTCCAGTTTAACCACACACCAGCTAGGTGGCTATCTTAGCCTTTCTGCATTTAGGTTTTCTTATCCATGCAATGAAATGAGGGCCTGGGGACATAACTTGGTTGGTAGAGCACTTGCCCCTCATGCTTGAGGGCCTGGGTTCTGTCTCCAATGCCACAGAAACCTAGTGTGATAGTTTATGCCTATAGTCCTGGCACTCGGGGGAAGGAGACATGGAGACTGGGAAGTCCAAGGTCATCTTCAGCTACATAGAGAGCTTGAGGACAGCCTGGGCTACTTGAGACCCTGTCTCAAAAACAAAAGAAAGCAAAATGAGCGTGTGTGTGTGTGTGTGTGTGTGTGTGTGTGTGTGTGCGCGCGCGCGCGCGCGCGTGCGCACGTGCATGTGCAGGGCAGTAGCTCGAGCATGGGCGTGGATGCTGTTGGGCTGTGATGTGGCTCAGGGAGGCAGAAGTGTGGGAATTTGACTGAGTTCCCTCCACGCGGCACCAGGCAGATGCTGGGCTGTGAGAAACCGCTGGACACCACCCAGGCATGGAGAGATCTCAGTCTGAAGTCCTGTAAGGGACAGAACTCCTGAGTGGGGGTCTCTGGGCCAGAGCGGGGAGATGGGGAGATTGATGGTCTCTGCCTTTGGGCTCCCAGATGCTGTTGGGAGCTGCGGAAGAACTGAGACTTGAGAGGATACAGGCTGGACCGGCCCACAGCTGAGAGGGGTGAGAAGGAGAAGTTCTGGCAGTGCCCAGTGGGGTGAGAGACTCTTGGTTTACAGCACTCACTTGGCTGGGTCAGCTAGCTTGCTTGAGTTGGTGGTCTTCACAGCGGGAATGTAGAGAAGTCTTCTTGTGGGAGATTAAGCAGCAGCTCAGTAGTCAAAGGCCTTCTCCATGGTTCCCCACAAGGGGCCCCAAAGACTGAGTTAAATGGGGAGGGAGGAGTATCTGGGAAGGAAAGCTTAATTGGCTATGCCCTCTGGCCCTTTAGGTATCTCATTAATATGGAGATCTCTCAAGGCCCTGAGGCCTGTAGTCACGCCCTGTACCTGTGCTAGGTGACACAAACCTCTTTTTGGGAGGGGCTGGTAGAGGCATTGCCCTTCGTGACTGAAAGGTGAAGATCAATGGAGGTCTTTAAGCCGCATGTCAGGAGCCTGGAGTCTGGGAGTGTGGCGAAATGTATGCCGTCCCTTGCAGGGTCTCTTCCATCTCTAGCCAGTGCTCCACCAGAAACCAAGCGATCCCTCCACGGTCCCACATGCAGGCAACTAGTGTCACGCTGTAGGAGTCTTGGGAGATGAGAAGATGCCCATGAAGAGCTTGGAAAGGTGCATAATGGCAGTACCCTCAGCAAGTACAAGCAGCAGCACCTCCACTGTTCCTGCTGTTACTTAAGCCTTTTCTGCTTTTCCTGTAAGGGAGGAACGAGAAGGAGGAGCTAGGAGTGAATCAGCACTGCTTCATTTCAATGTGGTTTTGTGGTTTCTTCTGAGCTTTATCAGTGCAGCCCTCCTCCAGACGCAGGGGGAAATTCAGGATTTCCTTGTCTTTGGAGTATGAGGCTCTGGTGAAGCAACCTGTCTTGCCTGAGGTTTGTTGGAACGAAGGGCTCCTCACATGGGCCGGAGGTTCAAAACAACTTAGTTGGGGGATAAGGGAAGCGGAAGTGTGGTAGGTTAACCTGAAAAGCCTGTTTTGGAAGAGGAAAACTCAGGAAATGGGAGAAAGGTTTTTCAGGCAGAGGGAGCCAAGGTGTGTGTGTGTGTATGGGGGCGGGGTTCAAGGGCACTGGGCTGGGGTGGGTGATGGTGTGTGCAGGAAAGATAAAGCATGGAACCCAGGCTGGCCACTGGCAGTGGGAGCAGAGTCAGGGAACTCAAAGGCGGCTGAATTTCCCAACCTGAGGAACAGGCCCGATACAGTGGCGTTGCTGAGACAGAGAACTCTGGAGGAGCGGGGATGTGAGTCAGAGTGAGGAAGAGAACCAGGCCAACTTGAGCCAAAACTCATTTGGAAACTGGGGGTGGGTGGTGCCAACCACATTCTGGTCTTGTCCTTCAGGGACAGAACTGTCATGTCCGTTACCATTGGGATGTTCACACTCAAGAATTCATTGTTCCTGTTCAGTTAGCATTTATCCCTTCAAGAGGAAAAATGATAGCTGGGCTTAGTAACCTCAGCACTCTCGAGGTGGAAGGTGGAGGATCAGGAGTTCAAGGCTAGCCTCGACTACCTCATGAATTTGAGGCCAGCCTGGACTACATAAATTAAAACAAAACAAAGCAAAGCAAAACAAAACAAAAAAGACAGGGGCTAAGATGGCTTCGCTATTAACTCAGCACAGGCCACTCTGTATCAGGCATGGCTCTAAGCTCTGAAGAATAAGCATTGTATTAACCCAATAAAATCCTTCCAGTGGGAGGTTACATCCTAGTGAATACAGGTACATAATAAATAAATAGCACTAAAGTTCGGAATACAGATAAACACAGAACAGATCAGTGATCTGAGAGTTTGGAGACAGAAGTACGGTGGGTGGGTCAGCATCCTGAAGGGGAACCAGGGAATGTGACCTTTGTCTAGGGCCTTGAAAGAGTGAAGGGATGTTAAACAACACACACACACACACACACACACCAATCTATTCAGGGATAACGGAAGTATAAAAGCCCCTATATGAAGTGTGGTTGGAGTGGCCATGGAAGCTGAAGGGGCCCAAAGAGCTCTTTGCTGTCTTTGCTGGCAGGTGGGATATTGGGGTCAGAGGAGGAGCAGGGAGAGCAGTGGGGATGAGGTCAGAGAGGATGAATGTGGAGGACTAGACTCCAGGGGCAGCCAAGCAGTCTGAGGTTACTCTAGGACACAGAGAGAGTCCCAGCAGGGGAGGCATGGAGTCAGATGTGCCGTCTGCAAGCATTACTCTTCCAGGCAGCAAGCACTGGAATAGAGCAGGGGTGGGCAGTCAGGGGGTGGGCTGGAGCTGCTGCTTTAAAGGAAAACACCAGCCTGGAGTAGGGGTGCATGCCCTTGATCCCAGTGCTCAGGAGGCAGAGACAGGCTCTCTGAGTCTGAGGTCAGTCTGGTCTACAGAGTGAGTTCCAGGACAGCCAAGGCTACATAGTGGGACCTTGTTTGGAAAGGAGAAGGAGGAGGAAAAGGAGGAGGAGGAGGGGAAGGAAAAGGAAGAGAAGAAGGAGGGGAAGGGAGAGGAGGAAGAGAAGGAAGAAGAAGAGGAGGAAGGAAAGGAAAAGGAAGAGAAGGAGGAAGGGGAGGAAGAGGAAGAATATCTGCTTACCCACTTTCTAGGTATAAACTAGATTAGCTATTGCCCAATGGGAAATTAGGGGGATGCTGTAGGGTCCCAGCACTGCATGATCTCTCCAGCTAGGAGCCACACTTAAAAGTTCATAGCCGGGGAGCAGGGGAGGTGGCCTAGATGACTTAGACACTATCCTATTCTGCATGTGGCTTTTTGACTTAATGCCATGGCACCAGCATATTCTCTATTGGCAGGACCCACACCATTGGTGTTAAAGGTGGTCTATGGGGGCACTGTCTATGTGGACCATTGTGTATTTAAATCAGCCCCACTAATAGATTGGAAGATGTTTCCAAGATTTTGCTTTCTTAGATTAGAAGGTAATATGTCTATATTTTGTGAACTTGGATGGGCAGATTCTAATTGGCAGGTCTGACTGGGAAAGTTTGGATGGGCAGGTTAATGGGGGCCTCAGGGAAACTGGCAGCAAGGCAAAAGCAGGTGAGCAGATCGGGGACACGGTTACCTGCTTTTCCTTGGTGACACAGTAATTCCATTCCTATTCCTTACTGGGTACTCTGTGTGAAGGATGCTGCTGTGGCAGGGCAGGTAGGACAACTGACCTTTCCCCCAGGTGTGAACCAGAGGCTTAGTGTTAGCCCTCCCCCATGCTGGGCTGGGGGTGGACACCTTTAGGTGGAGTTGTTGTAAGTCCTGCCAGCTTCTGTCTGTCATGCTCTACCTAGCCCTGGACTCTTACCCACATGTCTGGAGGTGCTGTTGGACCATGAACTCTGTCCTTCTTGAATAAAAACCACCCTAACTTTTTCTAAATGTATTTTATTTATTTGCTTATTTGTTTTTGTGGTGGGGATCTTCCCCAGTGTTTTCTTCATACTAAGCACTCCTTCTACCACGGAGACACACTGTAGCTCAAAACATCTTTTTAAAAAGGGCTCCTGGGGCTGGGGATGTGGTCAGCGTTACCTAAGTGACCGAATCCCCAGGTACCCCAAGTGAAATGCCTGGTGGGTATGGCAGCCTATCTGTAATTCTAGCTCAGAAGATGGAGATAGGGGATTCTCAGAGCAAGCTGGCCACCTAGACCAACCACACCAGCAAGCTCTGGGTTTGTCTTAATGACTAGTGTGGAAGAGTAGTCAAAGATGATTCCCCTACAACCTTGTGCCTCCACGTGCTCAATCACCCAAGCGCACACGTCCCTGAAGTCCACGCTGCAGGCACCAGACACAGTGGTCAACTGAGAGGTGCTCCGTGCGTGGGGTGCGTGCTGACCTCTGAAGAGGGAGTCAGAAAGGAAGTCAGCCTGCTAATAAATCTCATGTTGGTTCATATGCTCATATTCTGAGTATACCGGGCTAAAGAAGTAATATTAAATTCAGTTCATTGTAGTTAATTTTTTTTTTTAAAACTTTTCAAAGTGCAGCAACTGGGAAATGCCTGATGAATGGCAGACCTGGCTTGTTATATAATCTGTTGCATCCTACTGATCTGCACTGTGCTTTTTTTTTTTTTTTGAAAAACAAAACAAAACAAAACATTTATTTGTATGTTTGTTTACAACAGAGTCTCATGTGGTCCAGACTGGCCTCTCTCTCACAGTGTAGTCGAGGATGGTCTTGAACTTCTGATCCTCCTGATACTGTCTTCTGAGTTGTAGGACTATAGGCATGTACCAACATGTCTATTTTATGTAGTGCTAGCCCCAGGGCTTTGTGCATGCTACCAACTGAACCATGTACCCAGTCCTGGACTCTGTGCATTAATCCTCGATTTATAGCTGTGTCAAATCCTGCTTAGAAGGATGAAGAGTGTATGGCAAAGAAGGAAGAATGGAAGAGAAGGAAGGGAGGGAGAAAAGAAGTCTCTGTCTCATGAGACACCTGGGAACAACATGAACTGGTACCCGTCTTACAGATGAGTAACTAAACGAGTCACCCCGACTTCTCTGAGCTATGATTTGAGATGCGGCAAGACCACCTGACCGGGTTGTCTCAAGTCTTAGGAATTCCTAAAAAGCTTTTGTTTCAGTGGTAACGTAAATAGCTTTTTCAGCCAATAGCAACAAACTGGGTAGCTCAGCAGAACTGTGGGTCCTTGATGCTGCCCAACAACGTCACAGGTTTCTTAAAGCATACCTCCCACCTCTGCGTGTTCACCGAGGCAAGTACGCGGCCTCCATGGTGTTATCTTCTCTCTTGTGTCTCTCTGCCAGGTTGCAGCTCCTTCACTTGTACTCTGTGTGCTTGCTGGTTGGTTTCTTCTCTTTTGTTCCCTGGGGACCTGTCTGGGAAGTGGCCCAGTTCCATTGGGATAACTGCCGGGAGGTTTGGTGGACGAATCTGCTGCTGCTGAATAACTTCCTGTCTGTTCAGAATGCCGTGAGTTTTCAAGGGCTTTTTTCGCAAGGGCGTAGTCACATGGTCTGGCTGGTTTACCAAGGGTCAACCTAAGTCCCATCTCCATGAGTTTTGGAGGCATAATATCAGCTAATGTAGGGGGCCCTGTTATGAGGCAAGAAAGAGCGGTCGTGGTGCTAGTGAGGGGTGGACTGTCTGGGTATCAGGGCAGTTTCCCTGCTCTACCATTGTACCTGAACTAGTACAGAAGGGACAAAACACAAGGAAGGACAGTTTCTTTGCTTTCACATAGGAAGTCTATGCTGGGGTGAAACATCACAGCATCTCCCCTCGCCATGGTAAACTCTAAGTCAACTTCAAGCCAGGCATCATGGAGCTGCTTCAGAGCCACAAGATCTATGTCTATAGAATCCTTCAAACCTTCACGATCATTCCAGTTTGCTTTCTATTAATGTGATAAAACACCACAACCACAGACAACCAGAGAAGGAAAGAGTTTATTTGGCTTAGACATCCTGGGTGGCTCACACGTTATCACTGAGTGAAGTTAGGGCAGGATCTCAAGGTAAGAACTAAAGTAGAGACTGTGGAGCCTTCATTGCTACCATCACTTGCTTGCTCTGCCACCTGCCTAGGGGTGGCACCACCCACAGTGGGGCTGAGCCCTCCCACGTCAGTCATTAATCAAGGAAAAGTCCCCACAGACTTGTCTACAGGCCAATATAATGGGGGCATTTTCTCAGCTTAAGTTCCTCTTCTAAGAAAAATGCTGGCAAGATGACACAACAATAATTAAAAATAAATAAAATAAAATAAAATAAAATAAAATAAAATTCTAACCAGGATAATAATGAACTTAGAGAAAAAGGGAAGGAGGTGGCCATACTTCAATTATGTTCTTAATTCCTCCCATGGGCTGAAATTTGTGCCGAGTCCCTAACTCTTGCCGGTAACTGCTCATTTATGAGATGGCCCCAGCCCAGCAGCTTTTGTGGGGCACCACTTACAGATGAGGGCATGCCTGTGTCAGGGTCCCAGGAGAAGACAGGTAGGGTCACTTTCCTGGATGCAGACTCGCTTGGGGCATTATAGAAGTCAGGACAAGGATGGGAGCCAGTTGCCCCATTGAGTGGGAGCCCACTTTACATGTTTGGAAGCCTGGGTGCCAGGGGTCTCAACCCTGACCATTCATGCTTTCGCCATAGCAAAAACATCTGTTTAACTGTGGACAAAACTTCCCTCTCTGTTGAGGAAGTTTGGGCTCCCTTAGGCCCTGGGGCCCTGAGTGTCAGGAAATTTGCCCCCTAGATATTGCCTTATATGGGATAAAACATGTCCATTTCCCACAAGACTGGAGAGTGGGTGGGCCTCCTGTGGCTTTGGTCAGGCATCCATGTTGGTTCTGGTGGGAACCCTGAGTGTGAGCCAAGCACTTACTTTCAAAAGAACACATCCCCCCAACCCCACCTCAAGTAGGGAGTGGGAACTAGGCAAGGAAAAGAGCCCTCTTGGAATTCCCCTCTTGGAATTCCAGACAAACCTAAGGACAGCCACCTCCTACATTCCTGAATCGTGACCCCAGTCAGTTCCCATGGCTGTCCTAGGAGACAAGTTAAATTAGTATTTTTTAACAAACAAGAGAGAAATAGGTCTGAATTTCCCTGGGATCTGCCAGGCTTGGTCCAAAGGCTGATTTGAGGAATGAAGAATATCTTGTTTCGTTTTCCTCTTGCAAGGGAAGCCGTCCCACCCCAATGCTCAGCTTGCCCTCACAGGCCACACCGCAGACACTCAACAGCCCTGTACCTAAAGGGGAGGAGTCACAGTTACTTCTCTTTTTCCCCAGTGCAATGGCTGGACTTGGTACCTTGCCTGTGACTTCCAGTTCCACCTCATGACACCGCTGATCTTCTTCATCCATGGAAAGTGGGTCTGAGACTTTTCTTTTCCCTCATGGGTCCTTTGGCCTGGAACTCCCAGCTATATCCCAGCTTTGTAGGAAGCAGCTTTTTAGAAGTTAGGAAATGAACTTTCTAGAAACGGAGACGCCACTCCCCTCTCTCCCCTCTCTCTTTCACTCCTTCTCCGTCCTCTCCCAGCCAACTCATACATCAGCGCGTTTCCCCAGATTTATCACCAGGGTGTGTAATACCGGTGCTCAGCGTTTTCCCGTGCCAGCTGTTCACATAAACACGTCCACATATTGACACAACGCACATATCTGTCAGTTTCAGGATTTATATTCCATCTTTATGGTTGGGTATCTAGATGGTGCCTGATTTTTCACAATTATAAATGGCACTGTGGTGACCGCCTTCGAACACTCTACCTTTCCTTGTAGCTATTTCCACGGGGACATATTTCTACGTGGAATTACCAGGTCAAAGGGTGGTGGTGATTCCTGAGAGCTTGTTACATACTGGGAGATTGCTCCCTGGAAAGCAGGGTGTAATTTACGGTACCCTTAGCAAATGTATCAATGTACCTGCTGCCTTATGGCTTGTATTTATTGTCTTAATTTTGTTAGCTTTAGAAACACTTTACAGTCTCAATAATTCACAGAGAGATTTATAGTGTGCCATTATATAAAAAAAAGAAATTTATTATTCTTTCTTGTTAAAATATATGTTCAATTTAGGAAACATTAGAATTAAAGGAAAATATTCACTCCAGTCCATCACTCATGGCAAACTAGGTCCCCTGTTAAAGACTCTGGAGCTGTCTTCCTGATCCTTTTTTTTTTTTCTGACCAGTGTTTTAAAGATGAAAGCATACTTGCCTCTCCACATCTTTTAAAAATAGTTTTTGAACCCACATTTTACTATACTATTTTAATAACTGTAAACAAAATTGTAATGTCTGCCTAACATTCAGTTTCCTGAATGAGTATAATTGACTGGTACCATCTCCCATTCCAATATACTTAGATTATTTCCAGTCTTACGCTTTCATAAATAACTTTCCATGAATGCTTTCATGACAACCAGTTGTCTCCAACTCCAGGGTTTCTTCAGAATGCATATCCTGTGGGAAATTAGTGGGTCAAAGGCCATAACTGCCTCACAGCTTTTGAATGCAATGGGAAACTACTTTAAAAACAAACAAACAAACAAACAAACAGCCCCAAACACAAGAGTGTTCCATATTTCTGAGCCACAGCAGATCCTCACAGCCCCAATCCGGCCTGGTTCTGGTCTGAGTAACCAGATCAGAGTGCCTGATTTAGAGGCTGTGTCCTCAGACCTTTCAATTGTCACAGTATCTCACAGTCTGACAGTTGGAGTTTCTTTATGTGCCACCTCAGAGTGTACAGGAATTAGCGTGCATAATCACCGGTGAAAAAGAAGATACTGGGGAAATACTTTTTTTCCTACACTCCTCAGAGAGTCCTGAAGCATATTACATAAAGCTATAGAACATTCTGGAAGAATTAAGTGTTAGCCACCTCAACAGCTGATCTTGTATTGGCTCTCCCTTCCTGCCCCTCTTTGGCACTATCACATGAACCTCCCGTTGTTAGATGTTTATCTCAGGCTTGGCTTATGCTAGCAAGGAGAGCTGGGTTCTCCTCCCTGTTCTATCGTCCCTCTCCTTCTCTGGAGTGGGTGGCTGTGTCAAATCTGTGTCCCATCCTTCCCTGAACAAACCACTTCTCTCCTTAGTCAACCACCACCGATGTCCTTATAGTATTCTGTAGAGGCTAGGCGGTGTTCCCAAGAATGGCCTTCCTTTGAGCCGCAGTGTAAGCTTCTCGGGGAGTGCAGACAAGGGCGCTATTACTATCCCTGATTAGAAGAGGAACCCAACTTCAAGGTCCTGTCTACAGTCTTGCTGCTGGTCAGTGGTCAAGATCAGGCAGTCCAGGAACTCCAAGCCCACCCAGTTTTTCCTGCTGAACTGAAGTTCCCATTTCCTCTCTTGAAAGCAAGGCCCTAGAGCTCCCGGGGTTGTGGCATCTCATTCATGCAGTGCTGAAGGCAACTGAAAGGCATTCCTCCTCTGCCCTCTCTTCTGCAGAAGTAAACGTGTCCTTGTCCTCCTTGGGGGCCTGCTGTTCCTGGCATCATCCACGGCCACTGCTCTGCTCACATTGGCTTATAAACTTCCAGTGGCATCTCCATCAGCAGCCAGGTAACACAATTCCAGCTTGGTCCTCTCTGTCCCATCCCTGCCCTCGCCAGGGGCAGGATATTTCAGGGAGGTCTGCAGAATGTCGTTAGGTTTGTCCTGTGCCTATCAACTTATGGAAAAACTGGATTAGACACGTTTGATCTGGATGGAAGTTCCAAATTTCCTAACCTTTCAGTTTGCAGGGGATCCAACTGGGGAGGAGGGCTAAATGTATCGGCTCAAGAAAATGTTTCTCAGAGGACAGGAGTGCCCCCTTGTGGCTGAAGTGGGGTTCTCCCTTAGTATAGATACCAGATACATTGTTGGAAGGAGAAACTGAACCCATAAGGAAGTTGGGGTTACTTCTTCAAGGTCACCCGGCACCTAAGGAGTAGCATAGGTATCATTTGAACCTAGGACCTAAGTCTCTAAGCTCTTTTGCCTCCACAATAAGCTACTTACGATTCTGCAACAGAACTTAGTGTGCTAAACGGGAGCTAGATTCTTCTCAATTCAGGAGTCAGAACCGCAGAAGTGAAACTCAGGGAAGCCAGTTGATCACTCAGACTTGTCCAAAAGCCACAAGTCTTTTGGACTGCCAGTCCATAAGCCAGTCTGGGGGACTCTGGCAAGATAGCCCAGCCAGTGCTTTCGAGAGTAAGCACAGGGACCTGGAGCATGGTGGTGTACGCTTATAATACTGAGGCTTTCTGGCCAGCCAGCCTAACCCATGGTGATTTCTAGACCAACAAAAGACCATCTCTTAAATAAACAAATAACAGCAGCAGCAGCAGCAGCAACAACAACAACAACAATAACAGAAACATGGCTCAACATGGCTCAGAGAGTAAATGTGCTTGCTATAAACCCAAAGACCTAAGTTTAACCCTGAGGCCCACCCACATGACAGGAAGAGAGAACAGATTCTTGCAAGCTGTTGACTAATCCCCAAAATCTGCATTTTGGTGAATATGCATGAGTACATACAGAAAACAAATTCAAGTTAAAAAGATGGACCTGACGACCAATATCCAAGGCTGACATCATCTGGCATCTGCACGGAAAGACACACACGTGCACACACACAAACACACACACACACATACACACATATACACACATACACACATACACACATACACACATACACACACACATACACACATACACACACATACACACACATACACAAACACATACACACACATACACACACATACACACACATATACACACACATACACACACATATACACACATACACACACATACACACACATACACACACACATACACACATACACACATATACACACACATACACACACATACACAAACATACACAAACACATACACACATACACAAACACATACACACATATACACAAACACATACACACACATACACACACATACACACACATGCACATACACATACATACACACATACACAAACACATACACAAACACATACAAACACATATACACACACATACACACATACACACACACATACACACACCATGGCCCAGAATGATAACTAAATGCTCGGTTTGTATTTGTGGGTGAATTTACTGCAAGCCTCCAGGCTCGGAGAGCGTCAAGCCCTTTTCCATGTCACATCATCTATTTTTATGGGTGTCCTGGTGACAGAGGAGGCAGCTTTCTTACGCGTAGCTTCATGGTTCTTAAACCCAGAGGCTCATTAATGCTCATTAAAGTCCCTCAGGGAGAATTTATTTATTGGGACTTTTTTTTTTGATATGTGTGTGTGTATGCGTATGTGTATGAGACAGTGTTCATTCTGTAGCTCAGGTTGGTCTCAAATGCACTGAGCAATGCAGGTTGGCCTTGAACTCACAATCCTTTTGGCTCAGTCTCCCAACTGCTAGCATTAGAGGCATGTGCCTCTTCTGCAGCTTTCTGGTCCACCAGAGGCTTCCTGTCCTAACTTGCACCAATTGAGTTAGATTTTCTGGTGCTGGGGCCCAAGGAAATGACTTTTATGAGAGCTCCTAGCCAGAGCTGAAGAACAACTCACTAATCTTCGAGCATCTTCACCACCTCTGGTAATCTCTGTGTGGGCATCATGGACCCTCAGCTGAATCTGTCTTCCCTTCTCGGTGGGAACCAGTGAAAACTTCCCAGCAGACATTCTCAAGCTACTCTCTTTTTGGAGCACCAGGGAGCTTTGACAATTCTCAGCCCTGGGTCCCATGTCCCGATTCTGATTTGATGGGCCTGGGTGTCACTTGGACATTCATGATGGACTCTCTCTGTAGGCGGTACTTCTCAAACTTGAGGGACACTTGGAGGGTGTTATCCTCCAAGTGGATCCACCATTCAGTGGATACATGTCCACTGCCAACCTCCTCCTCTTCAGAGTTCCTGGGGGAAAGCATGAGTTTGACTCCCTAATAAGTTCTCAGGTCTGTTGCTATTGATGTCGGAGGACATAGGTGGGAATTACAGCATTTAATGGTGTTGTCTTCCTTCTCCTCTTCCTCTTTACCTTTTCCTCCTCCTCTTCCTCCTCTTCTTTCTCCTCTTTCTCCTCCTCTACCACCACCACCCCCGCCCCACAGCGTGTTCTGGAACTAGTTATGTAGACCAGGCTGACAGGCTCAGAATTCACAAAGACCCACCTGCCTGTGCTTCCCAAGTGCTGGAATTAAAAGCATGTACTACCATGCCCTGGCTTTCCAATGTTTCTGGCTTGTTTGGAACTCTTGCTTTCTCACAGACCCTTCTACATTCCTAGAGGTAGTGGGTCAGCCACCAGGAACGGGTATTTAAAACAAATGAAGTCATCCTATGTCCTTCGGATCTGGGTACGGAGCCCAAGGGAATTTAGAATTTAAGCAAACCAGCTGTGACCCAAGGGCCTAGAGTCTAGGGTCTAGATAGTCACTGTGTGTGGATCATTATTGAGAAATCTAATGCATTTGTTGATTACCCCAGAGGGCATTCCCTTTTCCTCATCCAGTCAAAGCCGAGCCTTTGCCTTGCTTTCTTCTTGTTGCTTTTCAGCGAGAATGGGACTATGCTATATTTCTCAGAGTATTACACCAAGCCCTACTGCCGCTGTGGCCCGTTCCTCGTGGGCCTCTTTCTGAGCATGTTCATGCATTCAGACCACCCTACAGACATTCTCAAAACTAAGGTATGTGGTCCCCTTGTCTCCCTGTGAGGGCACATGGCTGGCTGGGATTGCTGTGGCCTCTCTAGCTTGGCTCTTCCAAGCCAAAGGCAGGTGGAGCCAGGCTGCTGAGTTTGTTACTGTGCTGCCGTATGCTGTGTGTCCACGCTAAAGCTTGAGGAGGACGCTTCTAGCCCGAGTCCTGTCCTCCTTTCTGAGCCAAAGGATGAAGAATCCAATTGCACTTTTGGGATTCAATGGCCTTGGCTTAGTCATAGACAGTTCAGAGTAGAGGCCCTCCTCCTTGGGAAACCTTGTATCACTCTTGGTAACATCAAGGAATACGATTTTCTGCTTGTGGTGGTACATGTCTGTAATCCCAACACTCAAGAAGACCAGGAAAATTGCTGGCTCCAGCCTGGGGAGACATAATGAGAACCTATTTTTAAAAAAATCATCCTTACAAACAAGCAAGGAAAAAGATTCATCAGGACACGTGGCTGTACGGAAGGGTGTATCTATTCCACGTTGGCATTTCAGTGTTCTGGAAATGTATTATCTGGCTGTAGATTATAACACAGCACCACCAAAGAGATCCTTGAACACAGCCCAGGTCACATGAGGCTCCAGGGAGAACAGGGTGTTAACAAAGGGGAGAAGGGAAGGTGAAGAAGAAGCATCAGGGAGCCACCTCAAGGGCCAGTGTCGGGGTTGAGGACATGGAGCTAGGGACGCAGAAAGACTGAGCTGGAGAAGCAACTCAATTGGGAAAAATAAGGATTCTGGTTCCTACTGGAGGAAGCAGAGCATACAGTAGCTGATAGAGATGAGACAGGAAGGGCCCTGTGGGTAGACAGGCAGGCCAGGAGTCGGGGACAGCATAGGCTCAGGTGTGTTTCTGGAGACTGTGGGCCTGTTGACACCAAAGAATCAGGAGAGGACAAGGGACTTAGACTGACTTAGTGGCAAGTCCCCGCCAATTTACTTTCCTTCCATACAGCCGAAACTAGGGCAGGCTGTTGAGCTTTAAGTAGATCTCAGAGACAAGATGGTAGACGGCTTCCTAACCTCAGTATAGCCATCATGACAGCTTGACAACCGGAGCACAGAGAAACAAGAAAGCCTTGGAAGATAGGTCTGGGTCGAAGAGATCAAGGGATGCGGTGTAAGACCCAATACTTAACCTAAGCCAAGATTGAACTCACACCTGTTCTTTGAGCTGGAAGTAGCTCTCTCTCTTACCATTCCTCAAGGTGCTTCTTCCCTGCCACTGAGGCATCCTCTTTGATTCAAGGACAGAGTGGGACATCAGGATTGGAGGGAATGTTGGGAAAGAAAGCTTCCTTCTAACTGATTATATATTTGTGAGAAATTGGAAAAAAAAAGTGTGAGACGTCCTTTAGCCAGGGTTTACCTCAGGTATAGTGCCAAGGGAACCGTGACATATTGTCATCCCTAGGAACTGACGTCACTCAACCCATGGACCTTAGACTGCCAGTTTCCCCTGCATGTTTTGTATGTATGTGCGTCATTCTGGGAGTTGCTATCCTGTGTAGAGATGTGTATATGTCGTCACAATCAAGGGGCAGGGCTCTTCTGTCACCATAAGCCTTTAAACCCTCGACCCTCAATCCTCCCTGCTTATCTCTGAATAGACTGAGGCTTATCATCAATGAAATGTGCAAGAGTAGCAGAGCAACTGTCGGAGATGGGAAGACGTCCAGAGGGGGGAGATGGGTCTGTGTGCCTAGTAGAGAGCGAATATGATCTAAGCACGTGATGTTTGCGCATTCAAGTGTCATAATGATCCAACGACAGTTGATACAGCCAATAGGTCACTCAATAGGTCATCATTTTGCACTGGGACACTTTGTTTTGAGGTAGGGTCTCTCTATGTAGTCCAGCTGGCCTTGAACTCATAGTTCTGCCTTGGTCTCTGGAGCAACAGGATTATATACCCAACTCATCGCTTCATCCTGTTATAGTCGCACCCCTCACTCCACTGCTGCTAAGCCCTGCCCACCACTAAGCTGATCCTTCAGTCAGATCTGAAGTGACAGAAATGGCGCCAGTGAGCATGTGACAATGGACGCAATGATTCCTGAGTTGTGAACTGCCTCTTGCTCCCCTCAGGTGCAGGCCATGCTGGGCTGGACTTTCTCTCTGCTGACCCTCTTTGCAGTTGTTGCCCTGGCGTACGTAGTAGATGACACCTCTCCAACCTCTTCCGTGGCTGCTGCCGTCTACCAGGCCCTCCATCGGACCCTGTGGGCAGCAGCTGTGGGCTGGGTCATCTTTGCCTGTCAGGAAGGCTATGGAGGTAGGAGGGGACCACTGGCTTTGCTCTTGGGCTCACACTCTGTTCCAGAGGGTGATAAAGTTAAAATATAAGATGTATACCCAGAGGTAGGGATGAATAATTGACACCACCTAGAAGGATACAGTTTGTCTCTATCCTTGGGGTAAATAACTCTTACAAATTATTTTTAATTTTTATGTTGGTTTATATACTAAGGTAATAGACCTGAAAGACAAGGTCTGGGACTCTCCAGGAAAGGTAATTTAGAGGCTAGACAAGAACTCTGAAAATAGTGAGGCAATGATGTAGTGTAATAGCTGAGGACAAGGCTCTGGTCACAGCCACCTCAGGCCTCGGTGGCCGTCTGAGGGGAGAAGCCTAGTCACTAAGACCCCTCCTATAACCAGGGAGAATACCTTTTGTGCTGCTGGCTTTTGATGTGCAGGGGGGCAGGCAGATGAAGGACATATATAGAAAGAAAGGAATTTTCTCCTGATTACAGATCTGTTCGAGACTCCTGACATTTTCCTCCCTTTCTCCGGCCTGAATGAAGCACAGCGGTATCACCAAACACCACTCAGGCATCATCCAGAAAAAAATCTCTCTCTGTTTCCAAACTTCCTTGGATCCTTAAAGCCATGGAGCAGAGCCAGGGGGGAAGGAAGACAGCTGTGTACTCTAGGGGCCGAACTGGATGAGTTTAGCGTTCAGCTGGGGATGAAAATGTTCAGCCTCAGCCAAGATGGTGGGAACTCAGCAGGTGGGGTCCCAGCCACCAATGCCGACAGAGCACACATATTCCAGGGCTCCTGGAAGTAGTTGCCAAAGGGCCCCCAGGTAATAGCAGTGGCCGAGGGCTGGGCTGAGTGTCTCCAGGTTTATTCACATAATTGAATAAGTGCGTTCGTGCATTTGTTTTTGTGTCAGACAATGTTCTCTATATTTAGCATCCAGCAATAGATAAGAAAGAATTCTTTTCTTGCAAGGCCTTGTAGTAGGGTGGTGGCTGGGAAGAGGCTAGGAGATAGATGCCAGAGACACAATAGGGGCTGGAGAGATGACTCAGCACTTAAGGGTCTGTCACCAACGTGCCTAAGTTTGGTTCTAGCACCCATGTTGGGCAGCTCACAGCCACCTCCAGCTCTGGCTTCAGGAAGTCCAGCACCTTTACACACACACACACACACACACACACACACACACACACACACACACTTTTAAAAAGAGAATCCCTGCAATGTGTCGTGTAGCATCAGGGACCTGAGGCAGGCCTGTGACTGTGCGACTCTACTTCTTCCCGTCAGGTCCCGTGAAGTGCATGCTTTCTTACGGTATCTGGAGTCTCCCGGCTAGCATAAGCTATGCTTGCTACCTCGTACACCCCATCGTGATCATTCTCTATAACGGGCTGCAGGAGACCCTTATTCACTACACGGACACCAACATGGTAAGCAAGTGCCTGGCCCTTGGTCCTATCCTGGCTCTGACACTCGCTCTTCTTGAGCTCAGCTGGCTTTGTGTTGTTCTTTTTTAAAGTTGTTCTCGCTGGTTTAGCTGAAGGAGGGGGCGGGGCTTTAGTCTAGGGTAAACTCTTTCAAGGTTTGGGACCCATTTTTTTCCTGCTCTGCTTCATGGCGTTGGGGCAGCACACTCTCAGATTCAAACTTAGGGGGACTATGGAATAAGCTGTCCACTGTGTCCGCTTTGTCCACAGTTCTATCTTTTCTCTGGACACTGTGTGCTGACCTTCCTCTGTGGGCTGGCCCTGACCCTGTTCATCGAGCGACCGTGGCAGGAACTGAAGTGGGGCTTGTGGGGACCACTTCCTGCTGGGCCATGAGCATTCCAACTGAAACCCAAGAGAACCACAGGCCCTCTGCTGGTGACAAACAGAGGCAATGAACATCGTAGTTCTCAGAATGCGAATCTGATTTTGTGAACATTTACTGTGTACAATGTGGACAGATAACCTGTGTTCTCTATAAAAAGCAATTCTATGATGATTTTTTAAAATACTTGTACAATAATCTCTTTGTCTTGGCTTAGATTTGATTTTCTGTATCAGTGACTGACCACAGTGTTAAAGTATTAAAATAGAGGGCAGGACCTAAGTATAAAAAGGCACACAGTCATGGTCTTTCTCCACCATGACCTTAGCTTTGCATGATTTGAAAACAAAATGTAGGGGCACGAGAAATGGCTCAGTTGCTAAGAGCACTGACTGCTCTTCCAAAGGTCCTTAGTTCAATTCCCAGCAACCACATGGTGGCTCACAACCATCTGTAATGGGATCTGATGCCTTCTTCTGGTGCATCTGAATGTACTCACATACATAAAATGAATAAATAAATCTTTAAAAAAATAAAACAAAATGTAATATAAACTACTTTCTAATACATTTATGTATTAAAGAAAAACAAAACTGAAACTCAACCAATCAGAGGTAGCCAAAAATTTACATAACTAGGGACTCTCCAATGGGAGGAGACCAAATAAATAGCTGTGGAATTGTAACCAATCACACTGGCTTAGCTTTCATGTCTCTCTGATGAGTTAGTTCCTATGTGAAGTGCCTGGACCACACAGGGGTTGAAACTGCCCAGAAACAACTGGTGTTCCCTCAAATACACTGTAATGTTTTAATGCACTGCAGTTGACATTTTAACATTAAGCAATGTTGTACATATATTCTAATTTGGGTCTTGCAGTTCATGTGGTTTATAATGCTGCTGTTCTCATGAAAGTCACTTCACATGGCTTTCCATAACATGTTAATAGTAGTCCCCACACCTCAAAGTGTTACTTTCTTAGAGAGAACCATTTCCAGGGTCGTTGAGGTCACTGAGGTAAGAGACCCCAGCTTAATGAGCAGTGTCCTTATAAAAAGAGATACACACAGACCGGTGATGAAATGCAGACACTGAATGAAGATGACCAACTATCTTCCATCTCAGGAAGGACCAAACACTTCCGGAAGCTTTGAGAAACCTGTTTTAGAGCTCTAGAGAAGTGTGATCACACACACACACACACACACACACACACACACACACACACA